GTTCATCTTTCCTCAAATTCATACTTACACATCAATTACTTCTACTATAATCCAATTAGTTAATTAATCAATCCATACTCAAATAACATTACTACATCATCAAATACCATTGAGGCTATAAGAAATTTTTAAAATATTATTGTACTTTCCAAATGGAGATTGTAATATTATCAATGGTATCAGAGTTATATTCAACCATTTATTGGACGTAGATAAATTTTCCAACTACTTCTCAAAATTCTAACTATATTCTATACTACTTTTAAAATATTTTCTCAACTCTTACTGTAACTTAGAGGAAGGAGTTAAAGGAAAACAAGCAGAAGGATTTAAGGATGTTATTTGTTCTTCAAGAAGCAGTTGATGACACAATTTTTCCAAGAATAATGGGTGCCATAAGTGAAAAAGAAGCTTGAAACACAATACAAGAGGAGTTTTTAAAAAGTGATGAGGTATGCAATGTTAGACTTCATTCTCTAAGGATGTGAGTTTGAATTAATAAAAATGAAAGAATTTGAGATCATAAATGACTACTATTGTAAAATAAAAGTAAATAGTTAGTCTGATGAGAACTTATGAAAAAAATATTCTTGACAAAAAAAATTGTTGAGAAAATTCTAATTTCTATTCCCTTGAATATGATGCATGCAATCACAACACAACTGTGATTGAACAACCAAAAGATTTGTCTACATTATCAATGAAAATGCCTTTTAATTAAAGTTAAAATTATGGTTTCAAAATAAAGTATATGGAGGAAATAAAAATACTGGAAAAATTTCTAAAAATAAAGAAAATTCTAAAAATTTCTCTAATATCAATCAAGAAAAATACCCATGACATCTATAAAAAGACAAGTCACTTAAAAAAGATTGTTCATCTACAAATTAAAATGTTTATAAAAAAAATAAATTATTATAATCTCGAATCATATTTATAAAATCCTAAACTAGGAGCATATCTATCATTATATTCCACAATTATATATTTTTTTATATTCTTAAATAATAAAATATAAACTTAAATGTATTTTAATTCTTTGCAATATTATTCTGTCTTGTTTTAATTTATATATATATATATATATATATATATATATTTTAATTTGACAATTTTGTAACATTTATTTTTGATTTTTATGGTTAACTCTAGTTAGTTTACTTCTACAAATTTATACATAATATAAAATAAAAATAAAAATTATTAAAATGATAAAGAATAATTAAATTATTTTATATACATAATAAACTTATAAAATCGATATAAAATGTAAAATAATAATTAAGATAAGTAAGGTAATAAAGAATAATTTAAAAGAAGATAATTAAATTATTTTTACACGCATAATAAAATTAAGTGATGTATTTGTTATTTTTTTTTTAATTTACTTTATTAGTTTATTTTAAATTTTTAGTATATTATAAATAGTGACTTTTATTAATTCTTTTTATATTTTTTGATCAAACATGTGATTTTTTAAAATTTCATTTTAATTTTAAGTTTGTTAATTTTTTAATATTGTATTGTTTAAAAATATCATAATTTACTTGGATATCATATCATATTTTTAATATCTTATTTTTAAATTATAGATTTCAATCTATTAATTAGATTAATTGTATTTTTTATATATATTGTGAGTTGTATGTTATCTCCAAAAATAAACGCAAAAATATTATAAATAAATTATGAATATTTATATAAATTATATAATTTTTAAAGATAGAACATTAAAGATAAATTAATGGATTAAAAAATAATAAATAATATTGAAAAATACAATGCAAAATATTATAATTAAATAAGTATTTAAGTGTTTTGCAGAACTCTTTTCAGCATCAGTTTCACAGGTCATTAAGAGGATTGCTCGTCAGTGGGAGTTGTTGGTTGTTGCCATATGATTCTTCTGCATCTGAGTTCCATGTTTATATCATTTGATAGCTGATTGGTTTTTTTTTTTTTTTTTTTTTAAATTCGTAATAATTAATCATGCTCGCATGATCCAGGTAATTCTAAAATTTTTCCTCATGCATCAAAATCTAAATATTTTTATCCTTTATTCATTAAAAAACATTCTAACATAATAGGTTCAAAAATAAAAAAATATATATATCACAAAAAACACAAAAATAAAAAAATAAAACATGATAAACTAATATATATATATATATATATATATATAGTTTTCTTTGTTTAAGCGTGGACCAACCCCTACCACTGAACCACACGCTTAAGATTAATAAACTAATATATTTATCTAATAATATAGTAAAATATTAATTTACATATTATATTATTAATAATATAATAAAATAATAAAAAAACTAAATTATCAATATTTCAACTAAACTTAAACATTTTATATTTCCTATTCGTACAAAATCAACAAAGTTGAAAATAGAAACTATAATAATCATATTTTTTGCATTTTTTTTGGTTGGTTTTTTAGAATAATTCCAAAAAGGATATAAAAAATATTTATAATTTTTTCTTTTATTATAATATGTGCGTGAATATATACACGATTATGCACGAATAATTTATCTTATATTGATTTTATATTGTTCTTTTAAAATATAAATTTTTAATAACAATACTGTAAACTATTTTTTTCATAATAAAGATTAAAAAATGACTTCCACATGTATTTAAAAATAAATCAACTGACTTAATTAAAATTAAGTTTAGTATCCTACTTATCATTATTAATATGAAATATATTTTAAATAGATTAATTGATCAAATCAAGATTTTTAATGTTCGTGAGACCATACATATAACTAAAAATATAATATAATAAATTAGACTAGATTTTAATTTTTTTAAATAAACTTAATTTACATATTCAAAACCTAACTTAATTTTGACTAATTCTCATTCCTAACTAAATACAATGCATCACTTATTTATATAAATAATAAATATATTAGTTAAATTATGCGTGTAAAAATAATTTAAATATTATAATTTAAAATATTTTTTATTTAATTATCTTAATCAATATGTTATATTTTGTCAACCATTTTAAACATTAAACTAACTAGAGATAGTGATAAGGATTAAAAATAAACACTAAAGAATTATTAAGATCTAAAATTAATAATTTTAAAAAAATTAAAATAAGTCAAAATAATATTTATAATTATTAAAAATATGTTTAAATTTAAAATTTATGATTATACATGCAAAACTCTATAAATATAAAATTAAAAAGAAAAAACTAAAATTCTATATTAATTACTGCTCCTCTTACATTCAATCCAACTCAAAAGCGTAAATTAATGAAACTCACAAAGATGAAAGAGTCAATGCTTGAAATAAAATAATTATCCAAAGACTTTACCACACAATTAATCTGATTTTTATTAATTTTATCATGATAGCAAAAACGGTTTCTTTTTTATCTTGGATATCATTCTTGAAATATGCACAGAAAAGTAACACTAGTTATACACAATATTAAATGTATACTTAAATATTTTTCCATTTTCAAAACTAAATACTTAATTATTGACTTTTTAAAAAAATTTCTTTAAAACAAATAACAATATTTGAAATCTAATATGGTATAGTACTATATAACAAAGTGTGAGACTATCTATATTGATAAGAGAAGTAGGTTGGACATGGACATGTGTTTACTTCATTATTTTTTATTAATAATATAATAAAAAAGAAAGATTTTAAAATAATTATTTTCATGTCTATATTATTATTATTATTTTAAAAAAAAATATTCGACGTCTCTATTAAAAAAATATTTTATTGTAGTAATTTATGTTAATAAGTATATATATATATATTTTAGTTATGTGTGGCTATTTGAGTATATATACAGTTATTAAAAATAATTAAAATGAATAAGAAAGAATATATACATTAAATAAATTTATTTATTTTATTATTAATTAGTAAAAGAGATATCATGCGTCTTTATTATTTTAAAAAATAATAAAATAATTATTAATTAGATATTTTTATGAAATAAGAAAAAATGAAAATTATATAAAAAAAATAGTAAGAGAAATTAATATTGTGAGAAAATGATTTAAAAACAATTATAAAAGTAAATTTATCCAAAATATTTTATGGACGAAAATATAAGTAAATTTATATATAGTACCATAGATGGCATTGACATTTTTTTTAATTTGGATAACTTGTATAATAAAGTATTTTATTTTTATTAATGTTTATTATTAAAATAAAATTTTAATTTTAACAGAAAACAAAGGATCATTTTATTTATCTGAAAATAATTGTCAATTTTAGATGTTTACACAGACAGAAAATAAATAATAAATAAATGAGAGAACCTCAATATTAAAAATATAAAAAGAAAATCATAGTTAATACTACTTTAAAGAATTGAGATGATAAATATTTTAGGTTTTTTTTTCTTTTGCAACAATTACTTTAAAATTAAATAAAAATAATAAATATTTTGTGATAATTTTTTTTTATTTTGTAACAATTATTTTAAAATGAAAAATATAAGATTTTTCAATAATATAATAAAATATATATACTATTAATAAAGATAATTAATTCATTTGACACATTTTTTTCTCTAAACTTATTTCAAAAACTATAATCGAATTCTCTACTATTTTTAAAAAAATTATTTTATTATTATAATTATTTAAAAAAAATTGAAAATACTCTTTCAGACATATTATCATAAAAGAGACAATTTTTATTTCTATATATTTTAAAAAATGATAAAAAAATAATTAAAAAAACTATTTGAGATAACTTACAAAGATAAAACAATCCAAAAAATAATTGTATACACAATAATTAAAAAAATGAATTTGATATATCAAGATAGATATAGATAATGTTTATTACGCTGGTAATACATAATTATTGTTTAGAAGTGAGGAATAGAGTTAGGAAAAGCACGTGAGAGAAAGGTGGGACCCGTAGGGATGACCTCCATAGGTTTGTCAATTGTCAACAATAGAAGGCATTCATTCATCGCACTATATAAACCCTTATTCCACACTTTTCAATTCCACATTCTCAGTTCAGTCACAGTGTGCCATAACAACATTTTTTCTCCGCACTTCCTTCACTCAGTCATGTCTATGTCCCGAGATAACTGGGTTACCAAGGCCATGGCCGACGACACCATTGTCGCCGAGGAGCTCCTCCGCTTCCGATACCAGAGGCCCTCCGTTCTCCGCCGCTGGGGCGGCCATCAGCGCCGCACCCAGAGGATACTGGTCGGCGTGGGCCGACCTTCCCGCGCCAGCCCCACCACGCCGCTCACTTGGACCTCCGCCACCTCTGTCGACGGCTACGAGGGCTCCACTCGCGCCACCGCACCGCCGCCACTCAATGCCTCACAATCTAAGGTTCGCTCCTTTTCCTTTCTTTTTCTTTTGTTTCTCTTTCTTCTGTTCGGTTATTTCTACTGTTATCGGCGTGCACATGCATGTGCACGTGCGTGTCTGTGTATTGCGTTATAGCGTGTCACGCACACTCACACCACCACGAAATTTATCAAAATACAGTTTCAAAGGATTTAATTTCTTGGATCTGAAAAAAAATAAAACACGTAATGAATTTTTTTTTTTATATTTACAATTTTTCCCCACTGGAGAGATTGGATTTCCGATCTTCTAAGCAGATGGATTCTGCTGCCATTGGATTTTGCGTTTTTTCTTCGCTGCTTCTGTGGCTGGCTGAAATTACTGTGAAATATCTTCTTTTTTTTTATTTATTTTTTTATTTTTGGGTTTTATAAACTATTTAGTATTTTAGGTTATTAACTGATCTGAAAATGTTATTGTTATTGTTATAGTATTAAAATTCTTTTATTATTTTACTATTTTATTTCTTTGAAATTTTTTTCCTTATTTTATGTTTGAATATATATCATTTATCTTTAAGAAAGGAAAAGGAACACTATAAAAACAGTTTAAATTAATATACTTATTTGTTTGATGCATTTGTCTTAAATGTTTTTGCATTTAACACAATGAAAAAAACTGTGATCGAGGGCCATGGGTAATTTTGTAATATCATTCGTACATGGCAGATTTTTTTTTCTTCTTTTTTTAATTATATATATATATATATTTATTATTTTATGGTGTTGTGGGTGTTTGTGATGTAAGGTTCATGTAGAACATAATCTACTGTGATCTTCCTCACAATACCTCTTAGTGAGTGGGGGACATTCTTTTTTATTATTATTTTATTCCATTTACTCATAATTTTCCAGAAACAACAGCAGATTTGAAAATAAATCTATCTATATCAAATTACTAAAGAGTCTGATGTGTTGGTTTGAATTAAATGAATAATTAATAGAAGCTAATTATTTAATTTATTGTAATTGTTATTTTCCAATAACGGTCTACCAACACTTAATGTAGATAAAAAAATAAATATACTCCGTTAATATTTTTTTATTAATTAAATGTTAATATTAATTAATTTTAATATTTTGGGTGTAATGAATGTTATTCTCAATAATATATTAAATATTCTTGGATTAATACGGTGCACACTGACATAATTGAAGTCCACGTAATTGTGGGCATGATTTTAAGGTGACCTTGTTATTCCAAAGGATAATATGGTCTTTTACGTCAGGTAATAGTGGGGGTCCAAAAATGAGATTCTTTGATATATTTTGTGTTCAATTGATACAAAGATTTTTTTTATGAGTATGAAAAAAATAATTGATAGGAAGATGATGATACCAAAAGAAAAGAATGAAGTATCTTTACTTTTCTAGAGAGCAAAAAGGCTATAATAATATTTAAGAAAATTAGCATAAAATGTTATCTAATAATAAAATATAAAAAAAGAATAAAAAGACACGTAATTTTTTTTAACATTAATCATAATATGAAAATATTTTAATTATCACTAGAACTTAGTTGGTAGAATGAGCGACGCATTTATTTTATGCATTTATTTTATATATGACGACATCTTGTGACTTATACAAGATTGGAAGGATTTACGTGATAGTACAGAACAGAGCTGAGTAGACTCAATACATTCATTGAGTACTGTGCTGAGCAAACACTTCTTTAATTAAACTTTATGAAATATGGCACAAAATCTAATCTTATTCGCAAGTAAGAAGAGAAAAACAGTGAATGTAACCAATTGTAAACTAAATAATCGCATCACCTCTTTACTTGCTCTTTTTATGTAAATATCATATAGTTCGATTAGTTAATTAGTTAAAGGAGGTGAAGATCTAATATTCAGTTAATTCTTAATACATAGTTAAATATTTATTCATTAAATAAGTTGAACCGCAATATACTTATAAGCAAACAATTTTTTGGTATTTGTATAGCATTTTTTTGTCACTCATTTTCATTTGTCATAGAATATTGTTCCTTAATTATCTAACAATGAGATGTGTCAACTTTGTTGTCACCGAAAGATGAGATTATCAAATATTCATGTTCTTTGATGAATGTCTAAGCTCTTCTATATTTGGTGTCCTGCAGGCTGCGGATCAAAGTGAAATTGTTGTCGCTAAAAAGACAAAGAAAAGGGTAAGTATCATAATTAGTTAATGGATTTTGTACAACACAAACCTTTGTTTCAGTTGTCTCTTAGAAGTGCAGTAAATAATGAAAATTATTTCATCATATTTATGGCTAAAAGATGAAATATTTTCTCCTTCTTTGTGTATGCAAGTTTATGAGGTTGTGTTGTATCTCCAATATGTACTAAATGTCTTAACTATTTTAACTTGAATCCTGTTTGCAGCATCTAACCGAGTTACAACGGGATGAGAAAATGAAGCAAATCGAAAGGAATAATTTGAAAGATGTACGACTTGTATTAATTTTTACTTTACATCTCTCCCTATGTATATAGACATCTTATTGTTTTGTCTTTGTTTTCAAAATTTTTAAACAGGAACTGGCAGCAATGAATCTTTCATTTGAGAGAGAAAGAGACTCGAGCAAAAGTATAAAGAAACTGAAGGTAACTTGTTCTTTTACCCTTCTTATAAGACCTGTTATTTTCGCATTTGACACAACTAAAATTAAGTAGTATCATCCTAGTCTTTTGCATTGTCTAATTCGAAACCTTTCTTTACTAAATGGAACTGATATAAACACAACTATGTGATGTATTAGAATCTAATTATGCCGTTGACCTCTCATAACAGATTCGATTGATGGCACGAGAGACTTCTAATTCAGAACAAGCTGTCCTCGACCCACCTCAGCCTGTGGAGGCTCACTGTGATCCTTCTAACTTAGCTTCAGCGCAAACAGTCCAAGACAGGATTCCTGAGAATGAATCACTTATTTGTGCAGCAAGTACAAGTACAAGTGCAGATGCAGCTGAAGGTGCAAGTGCAAGTGCAAGTGCAGATGCAGGTGCAGGCTCAAGTGCAGATGCTGGTGCAAGTGCAAGTGCTCCCTCGAGCCAAGAAGAGATTAAAGGCCAGAAACCATTCTTGTTGCCTGATCTAAATCTACTTCCAGATGAGTATAACACCGACTTTCTTGGATCAAGCTCGTAAAGAATATTCAGCACACTTATATTTAGATTGTGATCGTTGTTTGCCATGCGCAACATAATACATAACTTGTGTTAAATGTATTTGTTGGTGGCAAACCGATCACCTTCCCCCATAGTCAAAATTATTGGGAACTAATTTTTTAATTCATGATGATACTGAGGGTAGTTTAGAAATCCTTATACATCAGTCATAGTTCCATTTTTTTGTATACCTGTTTTTACATGGTCCAAATATTCTTCGGGGCAAACGTCTTTCCTTTTCCTCCTTCATTCTAGAAATATTTACTAATAGATGTAATTACATATTTACATGATAGACTGATAAGATTTGTGATTTATGAGTGGTCTCAAGTTCACTGTGGTTTGAAGGAGAAATACTTTGTTATGGATTTAAATCCTCTTTTGTTGGGTCAAATATTTGGTTTGACAACGTATTTGGACTCACATTGACAGACCTATTGGTCACAAGGAGAGTGGTAGCAAAGTTGGAGAATATTGGCCCAATCACACCCTTTTGAACTTTATATGAGCCATACCTTATGACTAACTAGCTGACATTATTGACAGTTTTCTCACAGAGCTTTTGAGCTCATGAGTGAGGCGTGGATGTACCTTATGAATTTTGCTACTATACTTGACAAATAAGCGTTGATACTTGCTACAGATCCGAAGATCCTTATCATTGTAAAACTAAACAAAAGATTTGAGGGGAGTCATAATAAGGACACTTTAAAAAAAGAAGACTAAATTGGTAAACAAAATAAAGGACTAAATTGATTGACTTGTTTTTAAACATTAAAAAGAGTAATGACATGTTGACACTTGTATAGTATATATACTTTATTGATATTCTTTTAATTACATTAATTATCTCTCTTTTAAATTTTTAGTAACATAGGTATCTGGGCACCGTTCTTCAACAAAAATAATATTTTACATATTTTAGTGATTAATAATGCGACTAACCCTTTTCGGGGGAATAAAATAGTCTCTTGCTCTCATTATATTTATTTATTTATGTCTATCTTCTCCTTTTTCTTTCAAATTTTCTCAAAGGAAAAATAAAATGAACTGTACAAAACAAATGTCAAAAATCAACATTATTGATTGAGTGTAGATACAATATCAGGGATTAATTCGTAACTATTTTGTTGGAACAAAATTTTAATAGTGAAGGAAATGTTTGATAATAATAAAAATTATAAGTTTGGGGAAGAAAAAGTTATATATATAATTGATCATCATTAATTATGGCTCGATATAAACTTTAGTACACCACTCCTACTTATATAGATGATTTTCCCTAAACTAATGATTAGGATTTTGTTGATGCAATTTTAATCTAATAAATACATGTCTATTTAAAATGTTTTTCATAGATGTAAATCTATTCACATATTCTAAAGAATTTTATATGTTACTCTAAAATTATCTTCTAATTATAATAAGATTCTTCCAAAATATATTCCTAGAATTTGACCTTAACATATTTCTAGAAGTTGAGATTTTATTATTTAAAAAAATAAGACCGAAAATCAGGTTCATATCTGAACATATCTCTCTAGGATTTTCCTTTCATGAAGAATTAATGACATATAAACACTATATATAAGTATTCATTTAAACAATTATTTTGACATTTCTTTTTATTTTTCTTATATATCCTATTACCTATCACATTATCAATGCTCTCTCTTATATTTCTCACTCTCAAGTGTAGATTTGCATTGAGTGTGTCAACAAATCTTTATTCTTTTACTTTTTCATCTCTATTAGGCGTTCAAAGCAAAATGAATTGAAGATTGGTTCTGATAATCCAAATCTAGTCATTCAAGATCTTAAATTTTTTTCTTTTTCTGGTGTAACAAAGGCCAAAGTCTAAAAGGAATTCATTTATAGAATAAAGATCTAGAGCTATCAATTATATAAGCAATAGAGGCACAAATAGGAACAGCAGAAAATTTGTGAAGACTCAAGTTGAGCTTGTGACCCAAGTTAGTCATAGCATTAGATACACAATTAGCTTCTCTCCAAATATGGTAGCATCTAATAATCTCCCAATCAGAGCTGAAAATTCTCACACAGGATAGACTGAAAGTGTTGAAGGATAACCCGAGTTCAGAAAGGTGATGTCACACTTGGAGTTTAATAATGATCCTGTAAAAGCCTTTACTCCACACAAATTTCAGAGCATGAAGAATGCCACCAGAGGTGTTATCCAATGTGAAACAACGTTCATGCACACTCTCACTCGAGGGTCGAGGGTAATAAGCAAATAATTTTTAGTTAGACTTTAAAAAATGGCTATATTTCTCCTTTGCCAGAGCGATTAGTAGTGATCTCAATAATAAACTCCATTCATCCTTGGTATATATATTTGCCAATCCCATTAGGGTTCAAGGTGCATGATTGGATTATTCATTCTCTTGGTCTTCAAAAATTAAGAAATTATAACTCAAAGTACTGCTGAAGCAAAATTTGTAGCAGCAAATGCCACCGTATAACAAGCAGTTTGGATAAAAAAAAAACTTGAAACAAAATTAATGAGCCAACATAGATTTATATATGTTGACAATCAAAGCTGCAATTGCAATTTCGAAGGATCTTGTTTTTCATAGCAAAACCAAACTTTTTAGGATAAAAAATTGCTTACATGAAGAGTAAAAAGAGCGATGATATTTGGACAGTTAAAATTTATCACAAATATTTAAATGATACTTCTTATATATTTCTCAATTTCTCTCTTTTTCAAGGTATCTAATATAGTGTCAAAGAATTTTTCAAAAAAAAGTAGAAATCAAGTGGGTTTATTGCGTGACCATTATTTTTTTGCTCGTCCCTGGAGTATTCAGGGCCGATAGCAGTAACTAATCTCCTTGCTAAGTTGGAGGCACTTTAAAGGGTGGGATAGTTGGCCCCAAGATTTAACGCGGCTGCACACACAAGACAGGATTCAAATCCCTGACCTTGCTTAAGGGTAGATCAACCCCTATCACTGAACCACTTGGGGTTCTATTGCGTGACCATCTGATTAAGTTGCTGAATGCTGATGTTTAACAAAGGTTTTATTCAAAGCTAAGCTGGATTTGAAGCGTTAAAATACAAACTGGGTTTGCAGTAACTAAGGTAGCAAGGACATCCGTTAGAAAACACTTTCTTTTACAAGAAATATTACATCCGGTTGAAGAAAAAAATATATCTCTTTTATGCACAATATGATAATACACACAAAAATACCATAAAATATCGTAATTCAACCTTTTATGTATATGTTCACGAGAATATTTATTATCTTAAAATCTATTATATATATGTTCTTAAAAATCTTTTCTTTTAAGTTTTGTATGTGAAGGAAATCTTTTTCTTACAAGTCTATGAGTTTAACTTGAAATTTTTTCTTTTACAAGTTTTACAGGAAACTTAGAAACTTTTCTCTTTCGTATGACTCTTTCTCTCATTTAAGATGACGACTTCTTCTATAAATCGAATAATTCTTTTTATATCAAAAACTTCTATTTATTAATTTAACATTCTAATCTTAAAAGGAAAACAAATTTTAAATTAAATATAATATTTTTAATTCTAAACAATATCATAAAGATAAATAATATATTTCTATATCTAAATAATATCTTAGAGATTTGAAATTGAAATTAAAAATTTGAATTGTTTTTGGACAGTAACATATAAAAGTGTTATAAATATTATACATATAAGTATAAATATATTTTACATATAACTATACATAATTTTAATATTAATTTTGAATGAGATTTAAGATATTTTTTTAAAGTAATATATTGACATATATATATATATATATATATAATGTAAATAAAGTTTTTAGTAATAAATATTGAGTTATCATAAAAAGAAAATTAACATGGGATGTTATTAATAATAAAATATAAAAAGAGCATAAAAGATGTGTTAATTTTTTTTTTTTTAACATTAATCACAATATGAAAACATTTTAATTCTCACTAGTACATATAGTTGGTAGAGTAAGATTTTAACAAATCTTTAAATATATGTATTAATTTTTTAAAAAATGTCTTATACTATTTATTATTATAACAAAATACGTCTTCTAAAATTGTCGTATTATCCATTACTTGTTGAACGAAACACAGTTTATTTATAAAAACCTTATGATTGGTACGTAAAAAGTGTATTTTTTTTATGTTGTCTTTTATATAAAAAAAATTGTATTTGTTGACACAAGTTTTAAAAATGATAAAAGTTTAATATCATTCCAATGCCTTATTCTTCAGGAAAAAAAGGAATAAGCTAAGCCTAATAACATCTACATGAATGTTATTGTATTTGACTATATCAATGATCCTCAAGAATTTCTTGAGGTGTCTCAACGGATCTTCAATAGGTTGTCCTCAAAACTAGCCACTAATTTGGATCATAGATATAAGGGTTGGCTTGAGCTCAAAAGTATTAGTAGTCATTATTGGTCGACGAATGCTATCAGTTATCTCAATGCTTCGAAGGAACCATTCCTCTAAGGGACGTTCATCTGCCATGACTACTCCTTCCTCATATTCTTCTCCTCCCCCTTCTGCCAGTATGGTTGTGTTTCGTGTCTCCTTCCTTAACTTGCTAGCTGGTTTTTCAATTTCAAAGTCGTAATGCAAAACAGGTCTTTTTGATAGGTTGGCATACAATGCAAGGAAACAAGATTAGATAACAATAAAAACCAAAAGTAAAATTAAAATTAAAAATTAAAAACAACTTAAAACCCTTTTCAATTGATATTACTTGGAACTTAGTTCCCGATAATAGTGCTAGAAACTTGTTACATCTAAAATGCGTTTAAAGGCAAACATACCTTATCTGAGTGATAATAATGGACAAAGTCCAAATATCAAACCCAAAGGATTAGGTTCAAACAATTACCAACTTACTCTTGATTTGTAATAGTTTGAAGAAATAGAAATTTGATTGAGAGAGTATTAACTTATAAATTGAGAACATGATTAGAAATTGTTATTTAAATTCAGAGATAAAAATCCTAGAGTTGTGATTTATTATTCCTGATCTTCCCAAAGATAAATTTCATAAATTAATAAGTAATGTCACCTATTTTACTTATGAAATTACTAATAGTCTTTGTCTTAAGAAAAACTCAAATTAATCATAAGAGTTTTATTCTATAAAACAAAGAATATGCGTACAAAATTGAATTAAATAATTAATTCAATTAGTAATTAAGAAAACAAATTGATCATGCCATTTTTCAATATTTCAAATATTTTAAGGTTCTGTTAATTAAAAGAGTTTGATCATGAAACTTTTAATTAATTGAAATAAGAATTGAAAATATTAAAATAATATGACAATTAACAAGAAGAAATTCATGAATTCATTATTAGGATTCTCAATGAACAATTACATCACAATCTTAGAATGAGAAAACTAGCCACACATGTTGTTAGAACCCATTAAACGAGGAAAAAAAATTAACTATGATAGCAGTAATCCT